ATTTCTGGTACTTGTGAAGGATAGCCCATGTTCTGCACAACTCCTACAGCACCTACGTTCCCCTAAAAGGCCATTATTTGGACAACATCCATTCAGAGTGGGGAGAGAAATCAAGCAGCAGTGAGACAGATAAAGGGTGAGCACGGCACTTCCTAAAGGAATCCACAAGTCAAGGAAGCAAAGATTTGTGGGATAGCTAGGTTCAGATGGCTTTAAAGTGAGCTGTGGGACATTCGGTTCAAAGGATGAAACTAAACCTAGACCAAAGTAAAACTCACAAACTACATATAGTGGAAATGTCAGGAGCCTCAGCAGTTAATTCAGCATGGCTTTGCTTCACTCATCTGCCCAAGCTGCACCAAATTATACATTACTGTAGGCAAAGCTGACGTTGACGTGCTGCAGTATAACTATCTTCAGTCAGGGGAGATCAAGTTCCAGATGCTTCTTCAGTCTTTTACAGTGTCATTTGGAAGTCTTTTGTGTGGAATGTGAAAAACCCAAGACACCACTCTTTGTAAATTCCTGATTAGTCTCATCCTTTGAAGAATACTAATATTGATATTTTTGAAGAGCTACCCCAGTGACATCGCAGTTAAATCTTTCTAGAACATGCACTGAAAAATGGCATTTGAGATTTAAATAAGATAAGGAAAACCAGAATTAAAGAAGTCTAATACATAGTTTTGTCAAGATAATGTTGCTTTACCAGACAAAGAGGATAAAAAGTTGAGTTGTCAGTCTCAGCAGGATTTTCTGTCTGTATTCTAGTTTTGACTCTAAAGCAACTCTGAGAAAAAATAGCTTGAAATTAAAGTCTAAGCTTAGCCTCCTAGCTAAGAAGGAATCGGTCATGTTTCAAGGCAGAAGGCAAAGGAAGAAGATGGAGCAAAGCATGAAGAATGAGGAAGACTACTAGAAACAAAACAATCTGGGTGATTCCTCAGTCATATACAGGAGATATGAGCAGAGCAAGACAGATACACACATTAATCCAAACTGACAATGGCCAATACAGCTTATTTTGGAAGAAGATGCTTTTAGGGTGGGTAATTATGGAAAAAACCTTCCTACAGAAGAAATTAGATCCTAGCCCATTGTTGATAACCTGAAGCCCTTCTTTCTCATGCACATTTTTGTAACATTCAATGCTGTCAGAGGATTGGGGGAGCATTGGTTTTACTAATCCCATCACGTTACTGCACTCAGAAATTATTTATAACAGCACTGAATTCAACAACATGTTAACTGTGCATTGTTACTGAAAAGAATCACAGAGAGAAAGCATACTGCTTTTGTGTATATGATCTGTCAAGCATCAACAACTGCAAACGACTCTCAAATTCCTAAGATTTCTTTTTAGCAAGTGAGGCATTCTAGAGAATACACCCAATGACGTAAACACAAGGGGTTCTTCACCTACCTAACCACCTTTGCCTTAACTTGAAAATGGTAGTATTTTCCAACACAATCAGAAAATTTGGTTTTAAATGAACAGAAGCCATTGCTCCTTATCTCTTCTGGGTATCTTTATATTTCCCTAATACTACACAGATTCAGTAATATTTCTAACAGAATTTGTGTCTCCCTTACCTTTTCCTGCCATCTCACTACTGGAATTAGAAAATCTCCCAAGGCATACTCAAAACTTTCACCTACATCTCCATTTCATTGGCTTCAGTCCAACACTGTAATCCTCATTTAAAGGCCTATAACAGGCATCAGTAAAAAAAAAGTCAAAGCAGTACATTCTGGAAGACTGTTATGTTTTAAATTTGCCAAATTCCTCCTCTCTACTTTTGGAAGATTTCACCTGTAACAACAGATATAATTAACACAATTAAAATGCAACTGTATGCACTACGTACAACTTCACTTTAACTAACTGTAATTCTCAAGACTTTCCAAGTGTGAAGACAGTATAGTTGCACAGAATATCACCACAAACTGATCTTGCCATTATTTACATCAATAAAGAATTGCTGAAATTGTCCTGCAATCCTTCTATTCCAGTTCTGCCAAGAAAAAAAAAAAAAGTTTCCCACAGGTTGGGCACTAAACATCCACAAGCTTCCAACATTTCTCTCAATTTCCAGATTAGTGGTGCTTAACTTCAAAATTGCAGCATCACTGTAGCTCTTAGATCTGAACAGCAGCTCAACAAGTAAAAAGCATAGGGATAATTTGAAAACAACAGGCTGCCCGAGTACATAGCTCAAGCTATCCCACCCTCCCTAAAGAGCCTTATCTCCAGCCAAGCACCTGTGTCATTTTTTTCATTCCTACCATGAGTTTGATCCTGGAACAAATGATCCATCCTGCTACAAAACTCTGCATCTTCCCATCCTGTGACCCACAGTTATCCTACGTAACTTCTGGTGAATCCATCTATAAGCTCCACTTTTATTATCAAAAGCCAGTAAGAATCCCACCACTTCAAGTGCTGATCTCTTGTAGAGACATTTTGAACAGGCAGCCTCTCTAAAAAAGACATCTTCATTACACTATCAGCTTACTGCCCAGACAGGCTACTAAACATTCGTTGGACGTCGACAGTCCACACAACAGTCTGCACACAGATACACACTGTCAGGCTATTTTAAATTGGGAAAGGAACTCAGGAAAGAAGGCAAAATGCTTCCTTCCCCACCAGGAGGTTCACCAACTTCCGTCATATGTCTGATCTGCACTCATACTGATCTATAATGAAATATGCAGAGGACTGAAAGTCTATTTCAAAACAACAGGATATAGTATTTTGGCTTACACTGAGCAGACTGAGAACACAGTGGCAAGCAGTGACTGAGGGCTGTGAGCCAATCATCATCACCCACGCTCCACAGTGGTTTGGTAGGCCTTTTCTCAAACTCTCTTCTAGACTCTGCAAGATCTATGACACAAAATACACCAGCCCATGTCTTTCCCATTTTCAGCAAATCTCTTTGTGAACACCTTTGTTATCAGGTGTCCAATAGTTACCAGGTAAACCAAGTTAAATTTATTCCACAGAATGGACTAGACAGCTTCAACAGACAAGATAATAATCTCAAATCCTACCTTTCACTTATATTCCCTTTTGATTAAGAAGAGCAAACTGTGAAGAATTCAAAAACAGTATTTAGACAGGACTCAGCTACCAGCAAGATTATAATGAACTTCTGAATGAGTTCTGATACCCCTAGAGAACTTAAACCAGTTCTTCCATTCAGTTTGGTAATGCTGCTGTAAGAGGAAATGTGGAGGAAAGGATGTGCATGTCAACTAGGAAAACCTTCTCATTCTGCACAAATCTGCCATATCCTAAAACATTTAATACGTTTATAGAGAATGCAGATGTACAAACTTAGGAAACGTAATACCAACATCAAGCTTAAAAAGCAAAACAAAGGCTACTTTTCAAGTGCTTTTCAGAGTAAATTTCTACAGGGAGAGTCCACTTAAGACAATTTACATTAAAATGTTGTATTACTTCATTAAAATAAAACAAGTATGAATTTTCATATGTATATGTATGTATAAATTGATTTCATATATACATATATATTTTGTATATATATTGTATATGTATTGTATTTATATATGACAAATGATACATAAAATTGTATATATAAAATTATAATTTTATATATACAATTTTATGTATCATGTGCCATATATAAATACAATACATATACAATATATATACAAAATATATATGTATATATGAAATCAATTTATACATACATATACATATGAAAATTCATACTTGTTTTATTTTAATGAAGTAATACAACAATATATATCTACAAAAGAATAAATAAAATTAGATAAGAAACTGAGCCCTCTTAAAGTCTCCTGATTTCTTAAAACACTGCCATTAGTTCTAGCTCCAGCATACTGCGTGCTAACTTCTAAGCTCTTTTTTTGGACTTGGTAAATCAACACAAAACTGGTGAGGAGTAAATGTTTTCTGTATTTTCCTTAAAAGGCAGAGTGCAGTACAGGTTTATCATTTTTTGTAGCTGTATGACTTCTCTTTTCCTGCAACAGTGAAAAACCCTCACAAACTGAATCACTGTATTGTGAACCTCGTTTCACATTTTAAACCGCAGGTTCACATTACTCCGGACACTAGGTGCATATCTGAAGAAGATTGAGTGTGTTCCATTCACTGTAATGCATCTCACACATTGAAATACATTAAGGAAGAATATGAGTCCGACTCCAACATTTCTTTGCACTCAGTGTTAAGGGCAACTGCTACATACAACTAGAAGAAAAAAGCCAGCTAAACAGAGGAGCAGCGTGAGGGCAAACCACTAGCTGATGGCTGTGAGAGCAGAGAACCTTGAATGGGGCAGACTGCAAACACCCATGGTGTCAACAACCCACGGTCAGGCGCTGAGCAAATCTGAATGGGCTGATGCAGAACTGGGTATTCACGACCCCGGCTGGGGGTAGGCCACCTCAGCCGACAGGGAAGTTGAAGTCCACAGACTTTCCAGACAGAAAACGTGTGGGGCCACCAGCACCCGCAGTACAGCCTACAGCAGCGCAGGTGATGCAGCTCTCTTTAGAACTCTTCCCTGTCAAATTTCATTTGATTTTACACTCAGTTATGTGCAGCAATAGCCAAGGTACGCATCTTCATTTCTACTGGAACTGTATTTTTGTTCATCATAGCAACTGTCAAGTGACTTGACTAATACTTTGCTTTACCTTTTAAATACAAAATAAGAACTCTTGGGGGGAGAAAGAAAATAAATCCAATAGAGAAAAGTTCAAAATTTAACCAACCAGGGAAAAAAATACTAAACTGCAGAAGAAAAAGAAGAACTAGAGGAAGATCAAAAGCTCTTAGCTGCAGTATAATTGGGTACAGGTATTGAAGCTTATAAATCAATACTGAGCACAGCAAAAAGAATACACTAGCAAGGTAGACCATTTCTCTCTCTCTAGTGTCTATCTACTGTGCAATATTTACTGCCTATTTTCTGTAACAAGGTTATTCTCAAACATACCTGTTCAAGAAGTTCCTTATATGTTATTTTCTCTTTGGTATTTGTTACAGGACTGTCATAAATAATGGCAACTTGGTCTCCTCGTCCATTCTCAACATGACGATCTACAGCATTGTAACAGATATTCAGCTCTCCACCTACAAACCTAAAAAAGAAGTTGGAAGTATGTAACAGCCAGCCTCCTGAATTAGTAAGACTATTGTTTTGCATTTCATTTTAAGGAATGAGAGCATTAAATTAAAATATAGCTCATGAAACATTACACTCAGTTCAGGAAGTAATTTTTTAATCTATAACCATTTACACAAAAAGCTAAATAAGCGTATTAGTGAAAATAGTGGAAGTACTGTACTTTAATTGACTTAACAATCTACTAAACCTAGTCTTGATTTAACTTACTTTGCATCAATCATTCTGATTTTCACAAGTAATTTTCACAGAAAAAGCATACATTCACATAAAATAATCTGACATTATGAAGATGTGTCATTACACTACTTTGTATTGGCATGCACACATATCTTTTTTAAGAAGAACAGGTTCAGGACTCAAAATATTCATCTCTTGGCAATAACAGTTAAGCATACAAGCATCTGTATCTAATGAAACTGACCCCAACAGTTATAAAATCTTATAAATTTGTCTAACATTCATAACGCATTTGACATTACCGTGTTTTACATCAGTGACTCAAAATCCCCTGTAAAGCAACGTGAGTCATAGCCTCTTCAACAGCCAGACGTTTACAGAAAACTCTCATCTTCCAATTAAAGAAAAACACTTTCCAAACTCAGGTTTAATTTTTATTGTCATTTTACAAAGAAAAAGAAAGTTCAAGTGCAGTATAATCCTCAAGTAAGAAAATATAGAATGCACCAGATACAAAGATGACTCTATTAACTGAAAGATGACACAGAATCTAAAAATTAAAGTTCACTCTAAATAATGTTCTTTGTGTTTGTTTTTCTATTGCATGTATCTCTCTACAGCAAAAAGAAGAGCAACACACAGAAAAAACTCACTTGAGAGTTTCCAAAAAGTTCTATGGGTACACTCACTGTGATAATGTGATATTGTTATAATGTAACTAGAAATAAAAACAGATGGCCTAAAGTAACCCACTACTAGTTAAAAGAGTACTTCCTTCTTTACCTCTCCTGTCTAGTAAAGGACTGCTCTAAATTAGGATATTTGATATATTATTCATATATTCATACGCACTGATGACATAGGATAGTCTTTATTGTCAAAGAATGGCAATTAAACCAAAAGCAGTTAGGATGCTTAGGATGCAGCAATCTTTTATTGTGACTCCTTTACAATGCCATTAATAAGGAGAAAGTGGGGGACCAGGAAAGTAACAAAAACATTCTGTACTACAAATCCCTTCCCATAAAAGAACTGTATGAACAATAAAGGATTGGGAGCTGTTTCATGTAATACAGAGAAACTCTGTATTACTGTCATAAAAGTTGTGTAGGATTCAGGTCATACATTGATTTTTATATCAAATCACTGTAGGATGACGTGAACAAGGGAACAAGAGAGCACGGTACCTGGGCTACTATGCGTAACCACTTATAAACGGTCAAAACATCAGCAAGTACCAGAGCTTGGATTCTTCTAAAGATACATGGCAACATCAACACTGCCACATAAATTTTTAACAATCACTTGTGAACAACTATGTGAAAAAGATGTGACTGAAACAAAAACCAAGACTACCTAGACAGTGTGATGAGAGCTTTGCTATCCCGTTCAGAAGAAGGGAGGCTCTTACGGGATCAGAGAAGCAGAGATGCCCCTACCATGACCACAACTGCAAGATTTTTGCTTCTCTACTGTCACCCAAGTACATGCTCAAACACTTCATTTCGGCTGACAAATAAAAGCTGCCTGGCTTTAAAAAGTTGCCTTGTGCTGCTGCAAACTTCTGTTGATTCAGTGATTCCTAAGGAGATGAATACCCGTGAGGAATTTTGATTTGCTTGAATAAGCTTTAGTTGGAAAGAAACAGCAGCATGAAACCAGGACCCAGTCTTGGAATAAGGATGTCAATGAGATGCTCCTATTTAAAACAGAGTTCTACAATGAAAAAGAAAATATTCCAATAGACTGCAGAAGGATCAGAGGTAGATCTGCAGGATGTTTGTAAGAGCTGCCAGTAAGTCTTGCCATCATAACCAGGACTGTAAAATGCTAATCTGTTGCCAACCAGACAATTATCTCAATGCGGCTTACCAAATGAATCCACGTCTGAAGAACTTTTTTTTAGGCTGTGTTCCTAATGCTGAGAAATTAATAACATTCAACAAACAGAGCAGAGGAAAAGTAAAACAAATAAAAAGAGTCACCAGTAACAACTCTAATACCTAAAAGAAACTGGATTCAGTTCACCAGCAGTCTCTTTGAAAAGCTCACCTACCGTCCACTGGTGCTATGGTGGACAAAAAAGATGACAGGGTTCTTCCTGTCAAAAATCACAGCAGAATTTAAAACTGGTTATAATATCAAAACAGCTTCCTTCACAGCAACATTTTAAACCAATATTCTGGCAATATCTACCTATCCTTTTGATAAGTCTTTTTTCCCATACATCTATGAAAGCAGCAGCCTTTGATAATCCACGTTATGCATAACTTAGATCTAATAAGGCATCTTTTTAATACTTTGAGAATGGTTACCCACATTAGGACCCCCTTGAGCCTCTTTAAAGCTGCCTACAGCCGTCACCTAGGAATTACTGCCTCTTCGTGACTCAGTCACGAAGCCTCTTCGAGGCTCAGCACCTCCCGTCTCACCCCAGCCCTGAGGTCTCACAGAGTTTCTGTAGTTTCACAAACAGGAATCTCAAGCACATGCACTTACCTCTTGAACCATACTTTAAAATGACTACCCTATTAACCTTTTAGGGGTAGGAGTAGAAGAGGGCACGAAAGCACTGATCTTCTGTTCATGTTTTACTCTTGGCAAGTCAGTTAGTTAGGTCTTCCATAGCGGAACTCCTGTTACATACAGCGTAACATCTACCACCTACGGCCTGGAAATTTTTTTTTACTGCATTCAGTATTTGTTTGGATGTGACAACAGCCTACTTGCTAGGAATGAAACAAGCACAGTAGTGAAGAAGGCAACACATAATTATGTCTTCATTCACTTCACTCAAATATTCCGAAGTTATGCTTTAATTTCCAACACTATCTGCTATCTTAAGAATCAAAGTAGCTGCATTCAGAGACACTTTTTAGTCTTCATTCAATGGCTCAGAAGGAAAGATAATTAAGTATAAAAAAAGAAAGAAAGTAAAGGTTCTGAATAAAGCTGGCATATATGCAAAAGAAAAAATACATTAAAATTATTTTGCACCATAACTGTAAAAAAAGCGTATTGCTAAAATCCTTTTATGGCATGCGGGGTACATATACTTCTCCAAGACAGGTTCCCAGGAATCAACTGGATTTTTTTTTTTTTCATTTTTTCTAGATGAAGTGAGAACAGAAGCTGAATAAAGTGTTAGACAAAACCCCAACAATATTAGATATTTTGAGATGCTATTATGTTAATTGATCCAGGCACATTTTTTTAAGTGTGTAAGCAACATCTGAATAGCAATCTGTGCAACATTCCTAAAGTTCAAAGGTGATTTTATATTGCACTTATGTCTTCGAATCCGAGAAAAAACATAACTTGCAAAATTGCCCTCTGACTGCTTGCGTTAGGAAAAACTGTTTCTATCATTCCTAAAGAAATACTTCCTTAACCTTTCTAACTGGGATTCCCCAAGATCCCAAAATAACCTGTTCAAGTGTTTCACTACCTTTAGCATTATAAAGATTTTTCTTTCTAACATCTAAAAATCTACACCTCTGTTGTTGCAATTTAAGACTTCTAGTTTTGAACTCTTCAAAGCCAACTCAGAGAACAGTTTTTCCTTCAGCTTTGTAGCCAAATTCTCTGTAGCCAAATTTTACGTGTTTTAAAACTTAGATCTCCTTCTTGGCTTCTACACCAAACAATTCCAATTCCTTCATCCTTTTCTTGGCCACTCATGCTTTTTTGCTCTTTTCATTATTTTTGATGTGGGTAAAACCAGATGATGTTTTGTGCCGTACCAGCCACCAATGCAGGTCGGAACAGTCAATAGTACCTGCAATTACTGCTTCAACAAAACAGCCAGGGGATGGTGACACTGATCACTTATCTTTCGGAAATCATTTTGCAACCCACTGACATAACACCAGTGTTTCCAACGGAAAAGGCTAAAGAAAACCCACTACGGCATGCTGCACGTTTCTTTCATGCTCTTAAAGTATTTAGAGAAAATGAATTGGCATTTGCCTTACAGCTACATTTTAAATACATTAACTGCCTCCTTCAACTTCTTCAACTGAAGTAAATGAGACCAGAAAATACATGAAAAGTATCTGTTTCCGTAAGTCTCACATTTGGCAACTAAAACCAAAGATACTGAAAATAAATGGATATATATTAATTGACCTAATAATATGTCTCTGCAACAGGAGATAAATTCTAGCTCAAGAAGAACATACATGAACTTCTTAATACTATTTGTAAGGTCTCCATAAACTGCTTCCTAGGTAAACCTCCAAACCAGAACTACATCTTTACCCTGTTAGACCAGCAAGCCATGTTTTTCTTGGAAGCCTGGCCTCTTCCTCAGTGCTGTTCCATCCTCTTTGTTTTCTCTTCAGCATGTCCTCTGAAAGAGCCTTTTGTATGCCCTCTCTCTCTCTTATATTCAGTCTTTTCCTCAAAGAACTTATCTATCTGTTATCCTGCCGAGCACACTGAATGCTGGTAACCATCTGGGACTTCAGAGGCATTAGAGTACTATGCTAGTATCACATACAGCCTGTTATCACTTAAGGTGAACTTAAATAAAAAAAGAAATAAAATTGCATGTTGCACGTTAAGACACTAAAGAGGATTACACAAATTTGAATCGCTTAATGTTTTATTATCCACAGCAGAGCAACAGATACCTGACAACCAAACAATAATCATGACCTGATGTTGAGTCTTCAGAGACTTGCATCTTTGCGTAATCCCACGGAATCACAGACTGGTTGATGCTGGAAAGGACCTCTGGAGGGCACCTGGTCCAATCTCCCTGCTCAAGCAGGTCCACCTGGAGACAGTAGACCAGGACCATGTCCAGATGGCTTTTGAATATCTCCAAGAACAGAGTCCACAACCAATTCTGTGCCAGTGCTCAGTCACCCTCTAAAAAAGTGTTTCCTGATGTCCAGAGAGAACCTCCTGTGTTTCAGTTTGTGTCCATTGCCTCCTGTCCTGTCACTAGGCTACACGGAAAAGAGCCTGGCTCTTCGCACCCTCCCTTCAGCTATTTGCCCACATTAATGAGATAATTTCAGTCTGTGGCAATCTGCATCCACAGAGGGAGAAAGATGCATGTGAGGCCAGAAAAGACCCCTGGAAGATAAGTCTGACTTCAGCTCATGAAACTTTATCCCTGCTGTAAGACCAAATAACTTCCGTCTGAGAAGTCACAATGCTTTACAAAGACCTAACCATGTTACTTCCAGCAAGCAAGCTTATCATTCTCAACAAATCAAACCACATTTTTTTGACAGAATCTGATAGCAAAACCATGATCACTAGTGTGTGTTATATTCTCATTCCTTAGTTCTTAAAAAGTAACCGTTGTACTGACTTCATTATTCTGTTCAGGAATGCAGGAATGCCAGAGCCAGTGATCTTTACTGGTCTTTAATTACGCAGACAATCCTACTTGCCTTTGTGAATGGTGCCATAACCTAGAAATCAAGGTCAGTGGACCACAGGTCTCCCTATCCATCCATTTTAGGACTTCTGATTGTTATATAGTCCTGCTGACTTAAAGAGATTTATCCTGGCTGGGCACTGTTTAACATTCAGCTTAAGACATATAAACAATTTACACTACTAGAGGTGCCAAGCAGTAACATCAGACGCCAATAAGAAAGCAAGCCCCACTCTGCTGGTTCTGTATGTCTTCATTCAGGCAGATTTGAGAGTGATTAACATTTTTAATTATATTTCAAGAATTATTAGTATTATTAGTATTTTTAAATTAAAATCAAACAGAAAAATATAAAAATGGCAAATAACATCAAGGTTGATAACACACTGATGTTTTCAGTCTTGCTGAGTAGAATTTACACTAGTCAAGGACTTTTCAGCTTCCCCTGCTCTGCCAGGTGCACAAGAAGCTGGGAGGGAGCACAGCCAGGACAGCTGACCCAGACTGGCCAAAGGGCTATTCCATACCATATGACGTCATGCTTAGTATATAAGC